TGCTTTTACCAACCCACTCCAGGAAGGCCAGACTGGGAGAGGTGGCCTTCAACGAGGCTGATCCCTGGAGCTGGGAGCTTGACGCTGAGGTTGGACTGTGGCGCGATGTCAGCTGGAGCATCCCACCGCCAGCGTGTGCAGGGGAGCCATGAGGAGCGCTGGCCATGACAGTGGCACAGTGCCCGCGCTCAGATGGGAGCTTTTACCTCTGCTAGGCCTCAGTGGGTGCGACAGGGAAATGCTGCTTGGGCAGGGATGTCAGACACCTGTATGGGTGATGAGGTGTCAGTGAAGAGCTGTCTTTCACCTGGACACCAATCATGGAGAACTTCTGTCCTTCCTTCTCCCTTGGTGCTGGCTAGGCTGGTGCCCCCTGAAGTCAGGGCTGCCGTCGCCCTCCTCCCCTCTTCCCATCCCCCAGTGCCTTGCTGCTTCCCTCCCCCTTTTCACCGGAGCGCCTCTCCTCCTGATTTGCATAATTTTCCATTTTCAGTGTCCCCTTTTCTCTTTTTCTTCTCCATATGGTGCGTCCTCCTCTCTGCCTGGTGCAGGAGCCTTCCTTAACAAGCTCAGCAAAGCCCTCTCTCTCAGGGGCTACACATGAAAGATGCTCTGTAAAAACAGAGGCCGAGAAAGAGCCCTCCCCCTCTCCCTGCTGATTTATAAGGGGCCGGGATGTGGGAACATTTCTGGGTCGTGCTTTGGAGTTGTCGGGTGTTTGCTGCCGCGTGCAATGCCTGTTTTCTCCAGCCATTCAGCGCAGACCCCTAAGGCCAGCTCTTCCTGTGTCTTTGATCTGCAATGCAGAAAGCGCTGCCGGCCAGGGCAACTTTGTACATCTCTTACCCAGCCCGACCCCCTCCTTTCTGCTGGCAGAGGGATGCCCCAGCTATGTCCTACAGGAGGGAGGCTGTGGTCCATCCACTGCTGCCCGTCTTTGCCCATGCCAGAGCTCAGCTGGGCACCCGATGGCCGCGCTCAGCGAGCGAAGCCAGTGCTCCACGGCCCGGCCTCAGCCGGCAGCAGGACTCCCCAACCAAGCAGTGTTCAGCGGCCTGGCTGCTGGTGGCTGCTTACAGCCTGGCAAGGGAGAGTGGGCTTTGCCAGCTCTCTGCCATGTCCGTGGCACTCTTAGGAGCTTCATCCCCCGCTAAAGTCCAAGGTGCTGGCTGTTGGCAAAGCAGGAGGTCATGGGGTTTCTTCTCCCACCAGGAATCAGCTTATACGTAGGGTCTCAGCATGCCTACCTCACCACGACCTCTCTCCAGCTAATGTAAAGCCCAGCACCTCTGCAGGGGGTGTTCAGCCAGCTAGCACCATGCCAGCCAAGACACCCACCCATCGACCCAGCTGAGGGGTGCCTGGGCTCACTGCCCTTGCCCAGCATTTGATGGGTTAACCCGGTCTCCAGCTAATTTCTCCAAGCAGCTCCCCTCCTCCTCGGCACTTCTGTATGCAGCAGGCAGGGCCTCAGTGCAGGTTCCTGCACTGAGCTGTTGCCAGGGGAGTAGTTAGGCAAGTCTGAGCTATGCAGAGAAAAGGCCCGGGCTGTCAAAGTGTCTGAGATGAACCATAGCCTGGTCCCCCTGCAGCTGGGCCCAAGCATGCATCAGCCCTTGTTCGGAGCCTGGGAATGGCAAAGCCCAGGAAGGTTCAAGGGCAAACTTGCTATTCATTAGTCAGGGGTCCTTGACGTTCCCACTCTCTGTCTCCCTCCTTCTTCTCTTTTCTGTCCCTCTTTTGACAGATTCCTGGGTGCTTTTGGGGAAAACTCCCCTCCTCCTCCTCGCCCCAGCAAAAGCCCTCCACATAAACTTCCCCAGAAGACAAGGCAGGAAGACAACAATGACGGCAGGGCTGCGATTCAAATGAGGGCAGTCAGACTGGCCGGATCCCTTGGGTGTCCTTTTTCCCTGGCATCTCCTCTTGCTAGTCCTAGGGTCTCCCTGCATTGCCATGTGCCTGTCTCTAGGAGAGAGATGATGCATTCGTTTCACTCGCAGTTTGGATCGCTGATGGTTTATTATCTTGATGCTTGCCGGAAATTGTAACTTGAGATAAGAAAATGTCAGCTGCGTTTTCCTCTCACATAGCCCAAAGCGCAGAGAAGTTTTTTTCTTAGGAAATGTGAATGCTTGCCCAGGTGCATTTGCCCAGGACAAGTGAGAGATGGAGGTAGCCTCGAGAGGCCATGCACACGCATACACCTCGTGCAGGAGATAAAACACGCTGTGTAGGCGTAACGCAGAGCCTCCCTCCCACCCCACCGAACAGAATATTTCATAGCTCTTAGAAGCCGAAGCTCCCTTGTAATTATCCAAAGCAAACAGCACGTGTTATTAGTTTAAAATGATTTTTTCCCTCCCCAGGCCCCTGGAGCAGAATGGAGGTGTAATTGTGCTAAGGAGTTAGCAGGGGAGAGCACAGCTTTTGGTCACATTCAAGTTGGAGGTCTTGAGCCAGGGAGGCGGTATGAAAGGCTTGTATTTGCATAAGCAGCGTGTATCTGTACAGAAAGAAAGATATCAGGGGCTTGTAAAATTCAATCAAGGCTGGAAGGGGGAAAAAGGAGGGGGGGAGGAAGGGCAAAAAAATTGACAGTGAAAAAGGTTTTTCTAAGTAACACCCTGGCGAGATTAAATTGTCCAGAAAGTTTCTCCATATGAGTCTGTGGAGCGGAGGCTGGGTGAGGTGAGGGGAGGAGCAGAGTCCCTCCTTCCGCAGGGCATGAATAGGGCATTGGCAAGGGAAAGGAATCTGATTAGGCAGAAAGTCCTGCACAGATCTGTGATTATTTTTGGTTTTGTGCCATTCCCACCGCTGCCTAGAATAGTTGCAGCAGTACCGTGGCGGGGGCAGCCTGTGGAGCAGAGGGGGCATTTGTCAGAGGTTTAAACCTCCGTGGCACAGTCAGCTGGCTTTGTAACAGCACTGGGCGATACAGGAGCAATTCTTGGGCTCTGACCTGCAGATCGGGCATGGAGTGAATTGTAATTGCAATTATTAAAAAAAAAAGGTGGGGGGGATTAAGAAAAAAAAAGCTACTTAAGCTACTTTCCAGGCTACTTTCACTATCCAGGACCCTGAGGAGAGAAGAGAAGGAAAGGCAGTGCTGGTCTGGGGTCAGGATCCCGGTGGAGCCTTGTGTTTCCCAGCACTGGATGGCAGCAGTCCCAGACCACAGGGGGCTGTATACCATGGAGGGTCTTCGGTGTTTTCTTTATAAAGCTAGACCAAGGAGGGACATAGTACTAAACTTTGGCTATGGAGAATGCGTTTGCAGTAGGTTTGGGCTTTTCTCAAGCTTACTGCAAGAGGCAGCTTCAAATCAGTTGGGCTGGTCCAATCCTTCCTGCCTCCATATACTAAGTACTGGAAGGTGCAAACTTCCCAGGCAGGCAGATGGGACTGTAGCCAGGTGAGTTAATGTCTCATACCAATCAGTGTCCTCTCTGTCTGCACGAGAAGTGAGTTTCCCTGCAGGCAGTGACAAGCTCAGCCTGCCTGGGCAGTGGGCAGGGAGCTCTCTGTGCCCAGGGGAGAGGCCTCGTCCCCGCCACCAAGACCCAGCACCTGCGTTGAGGATGCATGCAGAGGCCCTGCGGGTGAGATCGCAGGCCGCAAGGGCATATTCGAGGCGGCTGCTAACGTGACGCCGGATAAAGCAATGCTGCCTGTTGCTTCCCTGGTTCTTGCAGCCTAGATCTATGTTGGGACTCCCTGAACACCCTCTTGATGGGCCTGTCCCATTGCCACCCTAATGCTCCAGAGTCAGGCTATGGGCCTATCCCCGAAATGAATGCACACGGGATGGATTTAGCTTCTGCCTCTGTAAGTTTTAGGCTTGCTTCAAAGTTTGTGAAAAGGGTTTTCCATGGATTTCCATCAAGTGTGCTATGAATATTGTAATAAAGGGGTTATGGGAAGATCCATTTTGAGATGGAGAGAAAATGCCCATGAAAATTGCAGCCTGGACCCCAGAGTGTAGAGTATTTGCACAGTTCAAAGAGTTATGGTGGTTCAGCCAGTCGCAGCCCAGAAACATCGCTGTGCGACCCACGGCTGATCACATGCCAGCTACTCCCAGGGCGGCTCATTAGAGAGCCACACAGAAGATTTATCTCTTAAAATGGGCTTGCAAATATTTTATAAAATTTGTTGTATTTTATAAAATTACAATTTGGTGCAATAAAAAAGAATAAATTAGCCAACGGATGGTTCCTTTGGCACTCAGGATCCCAGTGTATTGAGGAATCAGTTATACTAGTCCTTACTCCTTCCAGCACAGCAGTTTATAAGCAAAGTAAAGAGATGATGACAGAGAGAATGAACTGGGTTTGGAGGCCATGCCAGGGGATCTTGTGCTTGCCATGGGGAAAATGCAGAGGAAACTGAGGGGAAAAAAAAAAAACAGGAAAATGGGAGGGGGAGAACCTGATACAAGGTGTAAGATGTGTGAGGCGAAAACAGGGAGCTTAGCAGACTAGATGGCACTTTCGCTGGGTGTAACAGCTTTGGATCCGGCTCCGTGGCTCAGTATCACCTTCTACAGACAGACAAGGGCGTTGAGGGCAGGGAAAGTTAACATGAAGATTAAAACATCAGAGGGCTGCTCCTTTAGTGGCTCTGACATGCAGAGTAATCCCATGCCCCAAAGCCTACAGAAGAAGGGCAAGCAGCAACCCCTCCCCTGGCTGGCTGTGCGTGGGGCAGGGAGAGGTGGGAACTACTGGGGAGGGAGAGCGAGGGGAGGCTCAGATGGGGCCGGGGGAGCTTGGCGTTTCAGTGGCGCCAGGGCCCCGTCAGTCGTGAAGGGGGTTCATGGTGTGGAGCTGCTGGGCTGCGGTGGAGGGCTGAGTGGTGGTGGAAGGGAAAAGGAGGTCCATCCATGACATGAGTTGTTCTGTGCTGAGCTGAGCGCTGGTGTGGTTCTAGGTTCTAAATGTGACCATTTCCCTGCTGGAGGTCATAAACACTGCATTTTTTCCTTTCCTTTCTAGATCCCAGTGAGAGGAGAAGGGACCTTTCAAGCTTTTGAGTTCTTGTCACTGTTGGTTATCACCTGCCTGGACTTGCTGCCTGACATCTCCAGACTTCTCCAAGAAGGTCCAGTCTGCGTCTCCGATGGCCCCAGAGAAGAGGTGGCTTTTGCTCATGAATACAGAGGGTTTCTGCGTTGCTTCCCATCCCATCGGTCCACCCTTGGGGAGGCAGCCAGCAAAATCCAGGGAGCCAGGGGAAAATCCTATGTAACTCCTGTATGTTGTGGCTGTCTTTGGTGCCCTAAATACTCCTGGGCAGGAGTGTCCTCTGCTTGGGCAGAGAGATCTAAGCAAGCCACTGTCTCAACTAGCAAAATACTGTGTGCTTGAAGGTTAGAGAGAGCAGGCAGGAAATCTGAGCTGGTGGAGTGTTGTTTTGTAGCACCGGGGAACATGCAGGTTGGGCTTTGATCACGGAGTGCAGCCATCCTGGTGGGGCTGTGTGTATAAAGCCTGCCGGACTGCACATCTCTCCAGGCTGGACATCCCTGCTGCTCTTTTTGCACTTGTCTCTGTTCCTGTAAGAGAAATGTACTGGCTGTAATTCCTTTCCATTAAAATCACCCCCCACCCAATGCACTGTTGAAAATAAATACTCTTTTACAAAAATGAGCCGTGTGATTTGGTGCAGTCTCGGGATGGAGGAGGTAATGGGCACTGTTTTCAGAATAAACCCAGACACCCGCAGACAAATCATTTGGAAACTGGGAGCAGCCAAGACCCGAGTGCCCGGGCTGCGCCATGCCCCACATAGCAGCAGGCAGGCACGTTTCTCTGAAGGCCCGAGCGACTCCCTCGCTGCTAGACGATCTTTATTTGGTCTGAACCCTGTCTGGGAAGTAGCTGTTAAACCCAATGCAAACAGGCCCTGTGAAAGAACATAATGAATATGTCTCTAAAATGATTTGGAGCCCTTCTGCCTGCAGACCGGGGTTCCCCATTGTGCCCGGCTCCAGGCGTGCTTTCGCCAGAATGTGCGAGGTGACCGGTTTCCCAGCTGAAACCCTAAAAAGCAAACAATGGGTCAAGGCCCGCATTGTGCGCGCCCAGGCAGGCAGAAGGAGCGCAGCCCGGCATGGCCAAGTTCAAGGCTGGGCAGGGGGCCGGGCGGCGCAGGGATGCTAATGGAGCTGAGAATGTGCGAGGTGACCGGTTTCCCAGCTGAAACCCTAAAAAGCAAACAATGGGTCAAGGCCCGCATTGTGCGCGCCCAGGCAGGCAGAAGGAGCGCAGCCCGGCATGGCCAAGTTCAAGGCTGGGCAGGGGGCCGGGCGGCGCAGGGATGCTAATGGGGCTACGCAGGGCCTGCTGCAGCATCCAGCCGGGAGAAGGGGGGCCAGGGGCTCTGCGTGCCTTTATCCCACGCGGCCCGTCGCCGGCCCCCAGA